ATGGGATGATGTGATGATGTGATGGGATGGGATGGGATGGGATGGGATGTGATGATGGGATGGGATGGGATGTGATGATGGGATGTGATGATGGGATGTGATGTGATGATGGGATGGGATGATGGGATGATGTGATGGAATGGGATGATGTGATGATGGGATGGGATGGGATGATGTGATGGGATGTGATGTGATGTGATGATGTGGTGTGATGTGAGGATGGGATGGATGATGGGATGGGATGGGATATGTGATGTGAGGATGGGATGTGATGTGATGATGTGGTGTGATGGGATGATGGGATGTGATGTGATGGGATGATGGGATGTGATGTGATGGGATGATGTGATGTGATGGGATGGGATGGGATGATGTGATGGGATGATGTGATGGGATGATGTGATGAAGGGATGGGATGTGATGGGATGGGATATGTGATGTGAGGATGGGATGTGATGATGTGGTGTGATGGGATGATGGGATGTGATGTGATGGGATGATGGGATGTGATGTGATGGGATGATGTGATGTGATGGGATGGGATGGGATGATGTGATGGGATGATGTGATGGGATGATGTGATGAAGGGATGGGATGTGATGGGATGGGATATGTGATGTGAGGATGGGATGTGATGTGATGATGTGGTGTGATGGGATGATGGGATGTGATGTGATGGGATGATGTGATGTGATGTGATGTGATGTGATGTGATGTGATGTGATGGGATGGGATGTGATGGGATGGAGGAGACACAGACTGACCTGAAGGCTTTATAGACGGGTCTGAACCAGCAGAGGAAGGAGCAGGGAGCGAACAGGATGAACCAGAGGATGGACAGGCCGAAGTCCACGCCTGCGTCTGTGTTAGTGGTGAACTCAGCTAGACAGGCCAGAACGTTCAGAAACAGCGTCACACACTGCCCTGCAAACACAAACACACACACACACAGCTCACACGTCACATACGGACAGACATCAGCCGACAGAGTCCAGCTCAATCTGATTAACTACATTATCAAACAAACACATAATATAATGTTTTATTCAGCATTCAGTGTTAAAACTGTATTACAGCCACGATATTTTGAAATTATGTATTTCCAAGTTATCTACATACAATAACGTATATTTTCATATCAGTACTGTTATTGTTAACTAAAACCAAATAGTTAGTAATAGCGATTAAAAATGGTTTTAGATAAAAGAAATATAGCTGCAATAAAATAAAATATAAATATTAGATGGAAACGTTAGAAATGTTTTCTTTGGCAACTAACTAAAATAAAATAGGTTTAAGTTGAAAATAATAATAATAATAATAAAACAGAAAAAAGCTAAACAAGTAATATTAAAAAATAAAACTGACAACTTTGTTAAACTTTTTTTTTTTTTTTACTTGGAACAACATTTTGAATAAGGAATGTGTAAAAAATAGCTCGGAAAAAGTATTAAAAATGTTTTGGATAACTGAAATTAATATTAATATCAAATAAAAAAAACTAACATTAGAAGTGTTGCCCTGGCAACTAACAGAAATAAAACAAGAAAGTTCAAATACTTTATACTAATATATAAATTACTAAAACGGAAATAATAATTTATTATATTATAATTATTTACATAATTAAAAAAAAAAACTAATAAAAATGACAAAACAAAATTACTAAAACTTAAACTAAAATTGAAATTAAAACTAAAAATATAAAATTCAATTCAAAATATTAATAAATATTATGACACTATGTAATTAATTCTAAAATAACACCGTTTTATGTTAAACAAGAAAATAAAATCAGAATTAAGAATTGACTGGACATTGAAAATGTTTTTTTTTTGTAAAAAATAAATAAACAAACAAACTTTGTTTACTTGTATCAACATTCAAAATAAGACCAGGGATATGTATTTTGACTTCATGCATCAGTGGCCTGTAAACTCACACATCCACAGGTAATAGATCATTTTGCAAAGTCTCTGATGTTCCTGCGGGATCTCCTCAGAGAAGTCCTGGTAGAAGCAAGGCTTGATGGGAAAGAATTTGGGAAGAGGAGGCCAGTTGTTCGGTTTGCCTGAGGACAACAAGTGTGAGGTGAGACAGACGCCCATATCCCACAATCCTTAGCAGCAACCTGTCAAACACTCACAACAAGTAAAGGCACTATTGACCTGTCTGTTGATTTATGCAACTGTATGAATTCAAACTAACTCAGAATGGAATATGAGCATACTGTGCAGCATATACTGAATATTATTATTTTTAAAAGTTGTACCTGGCATTAGTAAAACATAAAAAGACATTTTCATTACTTTAAATAAAATAAACATCTGAATATAAAAAATAGATTTAATAAACAATATTACATTAATTAAACTAATACATTAAATTTATATTTTTTATTGAATTACTATTAAATAATATTTTATTATATTAAAACTTATTTTATTTCAGCTAGTTGACAAGGCAATTTTTAATGACAAGACAATTCTCATTTTCTTTTAGTTGAAATTAACTAAAACCAGTGTTAGTTTATTTATTTTAGTTTTATTAATATTTAAAAAAAATTTATTTTTATCTTTTCTTTTATATAATTTAGTAGCTATAAAAGAAAAAATATATACATTTTAATATACATTTTAGTAATTTAGTTGTTTTTGTCATTTTTATTGCTTCTTGTTTTTATTTAAACATGATTTAAAACTACTTTCAGTAGTACTTTTTAGTTTTAGTCATTTGAGTAGATCAAGATAAACTAAATGAAAATGAGAAATATTTAGCTGAAATAAAATAAGTTTATATTTTTTATTATTATAATTCATTTGACTTAATTTAAAGTTTACTTTATTTCAAATAATGTTTTTATGCTTCAGTTTTATTTAACTATAATAACCCTGACTAAAACTAAAACGTAATACAAATTATTTAGACATATTTCGACAATAATTAAAAAAAATTACAAAAACACAATTACTAAACTTAAAAAGAAAACAAAAAATATTAAAATAAATTCTAAATACTAACAAAAACTAAAATAGTTTATTAACAATAATGATAACACTGCATGTTTAATTCAGCAAAAGGCATCCAGTTATCTTGCATTTTAGTGACATTTTGTCTAAAAATGTATCATAACTTGTGCCAGTCTGATTAAGTTGTACTGTATGTCAAGAGCATAAAAACTGTGGCTGTGATTACTTTTAGTTTATTCATCACACTGAAAGTGCAAAGTGAAGTCAGATGCACTGCATTGTGGGATACTGTATGACTATAATAACCCTGACTAAAACTAAAACGTAATACAAATTATTTAGACATATTTCGACAATAATTAAAAAAAATTACAAAAACACAATTACTAAACTTAAAAAGAAAACTAAAAATATTAAAATAAATTCTAAATACTAACAAAAACTAAAATAGTTTATTAACAATAATGATAACACTGCATGTTTAATTCAGCAAAAGGCATCCAAGTTATCTTGCATTTTAGTGACATTTTGTCTAAAAATGTATCATAACTTGTGCCAGTCTCATTAAGTTGTACTGTATGTCAAGAGCATAAAAACTGTGGCTGTGAAGTAAATTAATAAATCAAAACAAACTTAACGTCTCCCTCAATCTCATTTGCGTAAGAATTGTCACGTGACGAATCTGTATTTTAGCTGTAATTCGTGGGCAATGTATGTGGTTACCATAACAACCTCACTCACTTGCCACTACTCTATGTGAATGTGAATATGTAGATTTACTATAGCAAAATTAAAATGTGTTTAAAAGTACGTCTGACCAAATCCACCGGTTCGGTTTGGCCCCCCCAAACTCAAACGTCAAGCTACGCCGATGACTGTATGGTCATCCAGGCTCCTAGTATTTACACGGCAGAATGAGAGTGGTGTGTGTTAGGGCTGTCAAAATGACTGAAAAACTACATTCAAATTTTGTACTGAAATATTATCAATATTCGAATTTAAAAGGCATAATTTCAGTTATGGGGAAAAAAGTTTTTGGCTTCTCTCTTGAGGCCACAAGTGGGCACGTCGAGCAAAATATTACTAATGCACATTTCTTCAAAGTAATAAAATAACACGACTATCTTTGAAAAAAGTGCATAATGTTTAAAATAATGTTTATAAACCATATATAATTAAGTTGCTTAAACAAACAGAAAGAAAACAGCATCATGCATGTATGTATAGTTTAATACAAAGGACCGAAAACCAATCACAAAGAGTACTTTCTTCATTTAAAAACATGAGATGCAGTGGGATGGGGAAAAACCGCCATAAAGTCTCGAGACGTGTTTTTTAAAAGTTGAACTTACGTTAATTTTACATGGCTTTCGAAACATGCGGCTCTCTTGTGCGAGACACGAGTGCAACGCTGATAGATGTCCAACTAGAAAATGCAATAAATATGCGTTCTGTGTGAACGGCTCGGTTTCGGTTTTGACATAAACAACATCTTCTCCGCATTGATGTTCTCTTTTTCCGCAATATTTTGACTGGATAGGCTAAGAAAAGCATTAAAATGCAATGACACCTACATCGTCATCGCATC